TCTGGGTGATTTTTATTTGTGTTGCGTTCCTTCTATCTGCAGTTTTAGTGTATTATGGTAATATTAATTAACAAAATAATTACTTATAAGAGGGATAATAAAATCACAAAAAACAATGAAAGGTCACAGACACAAACCCTTGATATATTTAACAATATAATAAATCTATATCACACTAGTTTTACCCTCTACTGACAAAAAATATTGAAATGAAATTCTATTCATCCCTAACTCTTGTCTATAATGGTGCTACTTCAACGCTTTGAACCAAGCCATTGCATTAGGTTAAGGTGAAAATCCGTCTTTGGCTGCCTCTGTATTTAGTTGCATCCATCAGGCGACCAACTTTGACCCACTTTGCTTTCCATGCTCTTGCTGATGTCAAGTAACAGCTGACATGCAAACTCGGCAAAAACACAAAGTCACCAGATTTGTCTCTAGTTGCTTATTTGAAAAAAAAAAAATAAAAATCCAAATTGCTTGAGGGGTTTGAAGAATCCTCAAATCTAGTGACAAATTTGCTAAGATGGCAGCACTGGACTGTCATCTCTAGTGTCCCTACACTGCTGAGAGCAGCGCAGATGACTGCAGCCCGAAGTAGAAACCAGTGGTGCTTTTTTATTAAAATTCAAGTAAATTTAAACAATTCATGATAACATTTATTTTGAACTCCTTTAAGAATAACTGGGCAAATATACAGTATGAATTAACATATGCTTTACATAATTCTAAAGGTGGGGTGGCTTTTTTTGCTCTAGTTCTGCACCATGATTAATAAGTGCAGTGGAATTCCTATGGTATTTATTCACATTAATAAAGGAGGTGATCAGCATGATTTATACTGCAAGATATTTTTAGTAATTCAAGGAAAATCCTTAGCATAAGAGGACATTCCTCTATTTTCCACAAACACACTCCTCTGGGTTTCCTTGTCTCCTGATCTAATCTGCCCCACACTGTTTTGATGTTCAGCTGTCATCATGTCAACCTTTATCAGGCTGAGAGCAAAAAGCAACCGAGCCAAACACACGCTGAACACAATCTCTTATTATGATCAGCTTTCATTAGCAGCACCAGAGGAGTGGCTCTGGCCCAGCGCATGCCTGAGTAATAACACCTTCTTACTACTCAATTCAATACAACTTTTTGACAGTGAATAGTGAATGACAGAAGTCCAATAAAACTTTTTTTTTATTAGTGCAGAGCCAGTCCAGATGACCCTTTGTGATACCAGCTGGCTGATAAAGGGCAGTGGGGACTTAGTGGAATTAAAGCACTTTAGGAGGGCTGTGTGGCCTTGGTGTTGGCCACGGATCAGGTGAAGGTTTTGGGAGTTACTGTGGACTCGGCTCTGAGGTCAAGGGAGGAAAACCTGAGCAGTGAAGGTTAATAAGTTATTCGAAACTTATTTGGCAAGCAATAATGAAGGAGTTGGCTCTGCTGGATGTAATGAAAGAAACTTCCTGAGACGATTTGGAAAACTTATGAATTTGCTTACGAATGAGTCTAAATGGCCAAACTGGTTAAAAAAATTTTGTGCAATATTTTAAAACAGAAGTTAGTAAAAAAAAAACGTGTGATATTGATGGCTTTAAAGATGAGAACTCAAGCAGTTATTAAAACCTCAGAGTCAGCAAATCAAGCATCCACATTTGAAGGACTTTACCAGAATTAGTTGTTTTATATCACCCAGGATGAATGACATAGTCTGTATCTTGCAAAATGAGACATAGTATGACCAATTGCAAGATAATAAAACAAAATTTTTTTTGGTATCAAGATGTGGTACAGACAAATTGGTAGAGGTTAAACTTGGTATCTAAATGTGGTAAAAAAAAACAAACAAACAAAAAAAAAAGATTAATAATCTGATGAAAGAAAGGATGCATGAGAATTGGATACAACACAGGACAATATTCACCCCTCCTCCTTTGATTCATTGGTTAGCATTATCAGCATTATCACACTACCTTCTTGTGGAGGTAGTGTGATAATGCTGGGGGTTCATGTTGGCTTCTTATTACCGACTGATCAATGTTTTCACTCCATCCAAGTACTGATACTGGTCATGCAGATTTCTGGTCATGAAATCCATATGCTGCCCTGATTTTTATTTAACTGAGGATGAAGTGGGAGATTTTCAATCTGACATCTGGTTTTCCTGAGCAAAATCTGTTTGTGTGTTGGATGATCTTGAGATCAAAGATTTAATAGCTTCATCTGTTTGTCATATTGTTATGCCTAACTGGTATTCTGTTAGGCTAGGTAAAACCAAATGAAGGAAATGTATCCATGGTGCCAGAGACGGGGTTCCCATATAAAAAAAAAGTAGGAAACATAATCTCCTTTAATTTTACTTCTCTTTTGAGTAAATTAGAAATCATACCCAGTTTCTAATGTCATTTTTCCATATTATCCAAAGTTAATGAGAATTTTCTTTACAATGGCGGAAATGAATATATTGTGCCCTTTTCTTACCGATATCTTTCAGGCAATACATTTTCCTCCTCAAGACTGTAAGCTCTGGCTATGTTACCAAGACAAATGAACTAAAACCCAACCAGAACAGCTTTTAAATCTAGGAAAACTGAATGCAAAATCACTTTAAAAAGATGCATTAAGTTTTACTTTACAAAATTTGAACATCTTTAACTTGAAATAACTTTAAACACTTTATTATCCAAAAGATATTGTTTGTCTATGTCTTAGTTTTAAGTTAAATTTCTGCAATAACCTTAGTCTCTTTTTTTGTCCCATATTTCCACCTTTACTTTTAGTGGAAATATGTATGATTGTATTTCCACTTTATTTACCCATCGCCAATCCATACATGTTCGCAATTTGATTATCTGGTCAATGTTTAGCTTGTCGGGTTGGAGATGTTTTTTTTTTTTCTATTTGTCTTCAAGCGAGACATTAAAAAACATCTTCCCTCACTAGAGTATATATATTTTAGTGTCTAAAGTGACGACTACCTCAAAAACTCTAAAAATATCAGCCCCTCCACTTTGTTTTAGGCTTTCAAGGTCTGAAAATATCTCAGTCAGTCAGCCAGTTGGATTTAAAGGGGATTGGTACATCACAGGGTGAGCTCAGAGCAGATAGATCCAGTCCTTCCATCTTTATCCCAACCAAACTTCAACTTCAAAGGATACTTTGTTCTTTGCGATAAATAAAAGGACAAAAATATTTCGATTTTTAAAGAAAAAATATTTTCATGTTTTCTTCTACTCTCTTTTGTGCATTTGAAAATATGGCAGACAGCTGAGTAAATATTAAATACATGTCAGACTATTTGACTATTTTTAACAGCACAACTCAAAGGCTGTTGTGGGCAATTGTTCTCAAAACCGCCACACCCTGGCAGGAGAAATGAAGTCAATGTGTCATTCAAAACTTTGACCCATGGATCAGAACGGTCAAGTTAGAAGATTGGAAACTGTCAGACATTATAATAACTCAAAGAAGTTTTGTCAGCCTTTGAAAAACATCGATAGCACAACACAGCACTCGGGTCTAGATACAACGATGGAGGGGGAGGCAATGAAACTGAGACAAAAGCCATGAAGCATGGTGAAAATGGATCACATACTTACCTTGAATATCCTCTTCAACTATAATTTATGAAAGAAATGAACTGCTGGTAGGCATGCAACAGAGAAGAAAACCATTTAAACACCAGTCAATTCATGCGGGAAGATACAAGAAGACAGAGGAAACCAACTCTAAAGCTACATACATTTAATAAAGGCTTCTAGCCACAGGAATATCAGAAACCCCTTAAATATATTTAAAAGGAGGTGCAAAGTGAGAACATGGGAGTGTGAGCTGTTTATCAAATAGTTTACTAAGATATTAGAGTTTTATGCTGACAACAATTTCTTTTAAAGCATTCCTGAACTGAGATGCTTGAAGTGATACCAAAACCAGCAAATAAGTAGCATTGTATAATTCAGTACTGTCTCCCAGCACTTAGTCCTGCATACTGCCTCTCAGCTGGCTGAAAAAATGTCAAACATATTAATGGTATAGTGGAAGATTTACACACATTTTTTAAGAGACCTGCCCTCTCCACAAAAAAAAAAAAAATGTACATGCACAACCCTGTACCCGCTCCCGAGAGGGAACGGCCAACAGTGTGCAGGAGCCCATTAATCCTCGGGCACACACTATTTAAAAGTTGCTATTTGCATCGCTCATACAAGTTTATTTTCCAAAAGAAGGTTTGCAATTTTTGTCAGACTCACCACTGGTAAAAAAAAAATCGGTATGGGCACGCACGATAGCCTTACGTAAACATATCACCAGAATAATTGACAATTATGATGACCACTTATTTCAATGATCCACCCGGAAAAAAGAACATTCTCCACTATACCTTTAATGTAAAAGTTTTAGTCACAATAAAATGGACCGTAATGGTTCATGACAAATTTGCAGCTGACATCAAAACCACCAACATTTTCACATTTTGACCAAATGTGAAAAGAGTGGTCTAGTCAAAGTTTGGACATGAATCTGATTACCATGCTGTAATTTAGTAAACGATTAATCCTCAACTGGAGTATAGAGACTGTAAAATATACCTTTAGCTGACAGAGCAAACCACTTACAATAGTAATAATATCGAAATTGTAAAAATTTTGCACTTAAGATAAAAACAACAATTTTCATCTGTCACTACGCTCCATCCAGAACTCTTCAAATGGAAAAGTGCAGTTTAATAAAAGTCTTCTTTAAGGAACCTTTGGCGATCCAATTATTAATCGATTAATAATCATCTGGAGCAGCGGTTTATCCAGCTTTTCTCCTCCAATAGAGAAATATTAATTTGTAACCTGCCCTTTGCATTTACACATCATCTTTGTATACCATCAAAAATTCTAAACATCTGAAATATTTCAATGTAAAAGATGCAACAACAGAAACCAAGACATTTTTAAATGAGTTTTCACTGTGCTATAAAATAACAATGATTCCAAACAGCAGGAGTTTCATACCTAAGGTTGTCCTGGCAGGCGTGGCGTCACTTTTAATCCAGAAAGAAACCCAGGAGAGAACCACGGTGAGAATACAGGGGATGTAGGTTTGGATGGTGAAGTAGCCCATCCTCCTGCTCAGATCAAAGTACACCGTCAACAGCACATAGTCACCTGTAGGCAAGAAACAGAAACGACAGTATTCCTTATCAGCAGAGTCATCTTAGGTCATTAGAGTCTCTGTAATTACAGCGCTGAAGTAATTAGGAAGTATTCAACAGATGAGTTCTGTAGATTTTTGTCAAAGCTGGTAAATCTGTTCATGCAGGCAGTAAAGAATTGCTTCCTCTTTGGATGGAAAGGGTTTACGATTCCTTAGAATCTGCATGAAAGGGCATGATGGGAGTTAAAAAGACAAGGAGAGGAAACAGAGATACATTTTCCAGACAGAGACAATATCTGCCCGTCACTCTGCTGTCCTCATAGATGTGTTAATTGTCAGTGAGTAGAAGATATTGAGCTCCATTTGATGGAGAACTATTATGTGTCCTGTGTTCCACATTTAAATACAGCTTAAAAACTTGAGTGGGGGATAATTTTTTAACAAATCTGCCAGCCGTTAATGAAAACAGTAAATGAAAGGAAGCAGAGGGTGACCTTTTGTCCGTCTCTCACTTCTCAATTGCTAAAAATTGCAGGTGCACATGACAAAGGAAATGTACTCCCAGTGGCAGATTAGTGCTCAACTGTTCCATGATTATGTACTTGTGTGTGTCGGAAAATAATGGCTTTAATCATTTTTATTCATACTACTGTAACGATGTAACAACAGCACACAAACAAATGAAGGGTTGTTAGTTTCTTCTACCAAGCACAATGCTGCAGAGAAGAAAACTTCAGTCCCATAACAACATATTTGAGATAATTAGTTGCTGCTTTCCTGCTACGGCTGCATAGAATAGTCTCATTAAATTTATTATGATCCTCGGGCTATGATACAATCCAGGAATTCGAATATAACCTACCTAGAAACCTTTTCAATTTCTTGAACAACAATTACAAAAAAAATTTTTATTGTTTTTTTTTGTGATGGAACACAAGGGTTCCAGGATACATGTAAATATCAATCAGAAAGCTTTATAAAATAGCTGAAACTGAGTCGTATAGGAAGGAGAATTAATGAAATTTAATCTTAAATCTCATCACTATTCTGGACTTTGATTGGGATATTTAAAGAGCTGAATATATGGGGAGCAGTGGGCTGCATTTGTGCAGCACCTAGGGAGCAGTGTGGGGTTAAAGGGGAACAAAGTTTTTTTTACATTGGGCCCTTGATTTTACATTATTACCCCATGTTCTACTCACCCATATTAGTTTTGTGTCATTTGGAGCTATTCTGAAGATATTCCATTAGGTTATATCCAAGTAATGTCTTCCTATGGGCTACGAGTTGAAGGCACAAACTAAACTGCTCATAATTTATCATTTATGGTAAGCCAGCATTCATAACATGTAGGCGAATCACTGTCTCCCAGACATCTGTGGTTATATTTTTTATATTTATATTTTTTAAAACAAAGCGGAGCATGTATGACGTCACCCGCGTGCCGGACTGGAGTTGTGACAGGCAGCCTGGGCCACAGGCGGCAACGCTCTACCCCTTATATTAATTTGGCTTATTAATCTGAATCATTAAATTCCATTTCGAGAGCGAGATCATCTGTGGTAGTAGCACTAGACATCTTCCAGGCATGTGAGCAAAACTACTGTAGTTGAAGTTCAGCGGACAGGATGAATGAATGGTAGCCGGCGCGTATCTTCCATATCTTGGAAGGATGCAAGGATCTTGCAATATTTTGAAAACTGCCAGCACCATAACTCACAATGGAAATTGATGCTTTTAGAGTGGCATGACACATTTTCCATTAGACCTGGACTTCTGACAAGATCACCTTTTCCCACATATTTACAGTGTTTACGGATTTGTGGCACTCCTGGTTTAAAGTAAAATTGTGGATCTCTGTAGCTCAGAGTAGCCAAGGACCCCATACAAGATTTTCTGTTTAATAATACTTTTAACTAGAATTCTACTTTTGAAAATATTGAATGAAGACAGATTGAGCAGAGTCTCTTAAAAGCTGCAAAGAACATGGGGTTAGGCTGTATGTGAAGCAGGCTGAAAACTCTACTACTGTAGCCACAACTATATTAAAAAATAAAGTTTGATTTAAATCTTTGTCTTTTTAAATGGCTCTATCCATCTAGTCCAGGCTTAAATTTGGTAGGTCCGTGACAAAACGTGGAAAATTGTTCTACAAATGCTCTAGAGCAAATCTGACTTGTGGGTTACATTAAATCTGAATACAAAACTGTCACTTCCAGCTAAAATAAGCTCAATGGAGTAGAACAGTAAGGCGGTGTAATTTTCATCTTTTCTATCTCGAACACCAACACCAGAATGTTTAATTTCACAGTTCCTCTTGAATATTGTCACACACACCATGAGCTATGACAGCAAAAATGTATCTCCTCTCACAGATATGTTATCAGTATTTGCAAGGCAGCAACCCCTGCATGCATTCTAGCCAATTCCTGTTTACAATGTTTAAACAACAGCGACCTCTGTTTGCATACTTTTAGCTCTTATTCCAAGATGCTTTGAAAACAATTGTCTACAGACTGTCATGGTGTACAGTCAAGGAAAATTTACAGCCCCCAATTGACCCAAAAGATTTAGCTAATGAGATAAGGGTAATTCACCTGAATATTTCATGAAATGCTCAAATTGCGCTAAAGTGCATTTTCTGTTGATAATTGATATAGTCCCTCAGTTTAGATTTACATAAAATTGTAGACGGGGGGTTCAAGTATATTTACATATCTCAATTCAGTTCAAAGACAATTCAAAATGCTTTGCATGGGAGTAACAGAAGGACAGTAAAAGCTGAATAATAGTAAAGATAAATGCAGGTAGTAAGCATATAAAAAAGTTGGACCAAAACTTGAACTGATAATCCTCTACTGCCTTTTTTTATTCGTCCATTATATGATTCCTTATCTTCTGCTTATTGGATTGAGTCGGGAGAGCAGCAGTTTCAGCAAAGCTTCTGAGATTTTTCTCTCCACAAACAGCTCCTTTAGCTCTGCAGGAGGAAGCCTGAGGTGTTCCCAGGCCAAACTAAGGGACAGAGTCCCCCAGTGTGTCCTGGTTCATCCCTTGGGCCTCCTCCCACTCCTGGTGGAACGTGGCTAGCACACCTGCTAAGAGAGGCGTTCTGGGAGGCATCTGGAAAAGATGTCTTAACCACCTCAACAGACTCATTTTGATGTGGAGGGGAAGCAGCTAATCTGAGCCTCTCTGATGACTGAGCTCCTCACCTTATCTCTAGGGGAGTGCCCAGTCATCCTGTGGAAAAAGCTAATTTCAAACGCTTGTATTTGGGATCTTAATCATGATCCAGATTTCATGACCATAGGTAAGGATTGGGACAAAGAAAGGCCAGTTAATAGAGAGCTTTTTCGCTCAATTTTATCTTCACCACAACAGACAGGTCCAGCATCAGTATCACAACGGCAGCCACATCGATCAGTCCATCAATCTTCTGCTCCATTCCGCTCTCCCTCGTGAATAAGACTATGATATTTGAACTCTTCAAATTATGGCAGGAACTCTCCTCCAACATAACGGGTAAACATGCCACCTCTTTCAGTTCAAGAATCATCGCCTTGGACTTGGAGGAGCAGATTCTCATCCTGGCCACTTCACATCTTCCCATGTCATTTGCAAGAAGCAGGGGGAGAATCCTCTGGTCCCCAGATCAGACCCAATCGAGCCATTGGCTGTGTCTAGAAACCCTGCCCATCAAGGTTATGAACAGAACTGGTAATGGAGGGCAACCTTGCCAGAGTCCAACATGTATGGGGAACAGGTCAGACTTAATGCTGGCCATGGGGACCAAACTTCTGCTCATCTTGTACCGAGACCGGATGGCCCCACGTAAAAGGCCCAGAATGATGTTGAAGAGGTCTGTCAACAATGAGAGCCTGACGACACCCATAGACCTACAGTAAGGTACTCATGTGAATCTCATCCACCCTCTAACCCTTAAAAACTTGTAGTCTTTTGACCACTCGGTGACTTTAGCCTGGGTTATAAATGAATCAGACCGTGACCACCCTATCAGTTCTTCCATCATGGCAGACGTGCCTGTTGATTTGGGGAGATCAAAGTATTCCTTTCAACTTCTGAGAAGGTCCTCATATGAGCTCAGCAGCTCCCAACTCCCACCAAAAACAGCTTTCCCCAGCAGAGGTGGCAGAATGTTTACAGAATAATTTTAAAGTAACTGTCAGTCTTTTGCTGCGGTCTCTACAGCTTAAGCTCAACAGCATCCTTCCTGCTCCTTCATTTCTTGTGCCACTTTTTCCTTCCTCCCATGCAATATCCATCCTTTTCCGCTTTCCTTTGTGTACAATTCTTGTCTCCATTCTTCTAGGCCTTCTCCCTTTTCCCTTTCCTTTCATATATCCCTGATCACCCTGTTGCTACTTTCTTCCTCCTTTATGAATTTGATTTGTCCAATACATCAAGTACATATACTTGTTTTTTGTGCCCACCCCTTTATTAACTTCTACCATGTTTAATTATTAATGTTCTCCTTCGTATGCTGCCTACCTTTCTTTATTCCTTTCTTATAGTTTTTCTGTTTAAATAAGGTGCACCCACAGAAGAAAATATCTTCAAGGTGTAATGTTTTGCTTCAAAAGGTCTAAACTGTTACCATGGAACATGCATAGGAACCATGGCGACATCAGGAGATATGCAGAACTTGCTGAAGGAACCATCAACACCCTTTCATGCCTGGAATCCTAGTGACCCTCTTGACATAGCAGAAACATATTGGTTAGGAAATGAATGTCAGGGTTCTTCAACATTATCACTGAAAGGAGTAGGCTTTAAGAAATAATTAGACCATTGATGGTAAACCCTATGGATCTGCCTGAGGTCTGAAAGATTTCATTATGTTCATTTGGTATCCTGTAGCGACATTTAATGTAAATTTAAATACAAAAAGAAAACATGAGCATTTTCTTTCAACTGCATTTACTTCGACTAATCTGACATATTTTGAAGAGAAAAAAAAAAAGAGATTAAATTGGAGAATTTAAATGAC